AAAAAAAAAATTCTTTCTTTTTTTGTTTAGAGGGTGCTGGGGTTGTCAATGGAAGACAGATCAAGTCATGCTGTAAAAGCAGATTCCGTACATAAAGGCAGATTAATTGCTGTCATTACAGTACTAGGAATATATTGGAAGTATCTAAAAGTTCGGATTTCTATTTGTACTTAGCCAACGACGATCAGATTGTCAAGTCAACATGATGTCAAATCACTAGAAAATATTGGTATAAGTAACAAGCAAATAAACTGAAACCCCATTATTTGATTTCTTTAGGGTTCCTCCTGTTGGAACAGATTAAATTCTATCAAAATGTAAATGGTTGATCCGCTAAAAAAATCTTACACAAAACGAAAGTAACAGACAATGAAAGCCAGGAATACAGGTCAGACCATGAGAAAGTAGAGAGCCACCTGACTCACTGGGCACTTGCTCATGTCAGAATACATTTGGCATAAATTTCAACCATCCAATCCATATGACATAATTCTTAAAATATCAAAAACGCTATCACAGTTATATAAGCAATGCAACTAGAGGTAAGATGGAAAAAACACTATCCTTTCCTCATCCAAACAATGACAAGTTAAGCAAAAAGCAACACACAAATTAGCAAAGTCATTAAGAAAGAAATTATATCTTTTCCTACCACGTCACATTTAATTGCCATGCATATAGTAAGCTGAAAAACCTTGTATAATCAGAGCAATAAAATTCACCTTTTCTCTTATTCCCGTTGGATGTATTGCCAGTAGCTATGCCATTACCACTGCCAATCTCACATCCCGGAAGATCCTTAAGACCAGAATTTTCATACCCCAAACATTGCAGATTGTCAAATCCACAGTCACTGAAGCTTTGACCATTTAATGCAGCACCTTCTGATCCGGAGTGAAGGCAATGAAGCTGATTGTTCTGCTGTGTATTACATGGATTCATCACATAGGTACCAGGACTAGCATTTACAAGGTATTGATAGACATCACCACTCTTGTGGGGCTTCTGGTAGGGGAAAGCTCCGATTTCGCCTTCAATTCTTCCTCTAATGTCCACAAGCAAGCACTTGAGCCTAGCAATCTCAGCCTCCAATAAAGCTTGACCCTGAAGCCTCTTCATTAGCTGTTGATTCAAAGTTCTCAATCTAATAACTTCATCCTCCAATGAAGCAGCACGAGCCTTCTTCTTCTCGCGATACTTGCGTACGGCTTCACGATTACCTAGAGGGCGTCTCTTAGGTTTTCTCTCTACTGACTCTGCAGTATCATCACTTGGGGACGGAACTTCACTAGTGGCAGGCATAACTTGGGTGTGGATATGGTAACAAGTGTGTGTGTGGGAGTTATCAGGACCAGCTGTGTTGCAAGCATGAGCATGGGTGCAGGCCTGTGTACGGCCAAGAGAATCAGTGCAGGCCTCTGTCCGACCGAGGGCATCATTGCAAACCTGTGTTCGACTGAGAAACTCGTCTATGTCAAATGAGCAACTGGCCTGAGCATTGATTGTATCCAAACATGATAATAGTTGATCATTCGGAAAATCAAGCTCCCCGTTGTCCATTTCAACTGAAAATTGGTTCAAATTAAACCAAAAGGTTCACACAATGAGGCCTACAATAAAATTTTGCAGTCAATCTCAATGAAAAGTGTCCATTCCTTGCTGGATATAACTCAAAGAAGACCTAGTAACAAAAACAGATAAGACTTGTAAGTTAATCAGCCACAATCTATTAGAGAAAATAGGAACATTACTTGATTTTAATGATACCCCAGATGAAACTTACTATCTACACAATCAGAAACCTCAATTTTTGGTTTCATGAACTACCGTAAAACCCTAAAAATCCCAACGAAAATTTTCAAAGATTTGAACTTTAAGCATAATCCATGTATTAAAATCGTAATTTAGGTGAAATTGAAGCCTACAAATTAAAAATACGCAAGAAATAGAAACCCTAACTAAAGTATAATCGAGATAAACGCAAGTTTGAATTTGATCACAGTAACAAATAATTCACAAATTGAAAACACAAACAGCAAGCGGTATATTGAAAAAGAAATTGGCATACCGGAGAGTAATTTTATTCAGAACTAGAACTATCAAGACTGAATCTTGGAACAACATTAATCAAGAGGCGCAGAAGACAGTTTGCGGGATATCGAAGATGCAGAAAGACGCCAATGTCAATTATTTTAATGGCGGATGGACAAGTGGCGAAGCATATCAACCATTGGTTCAGTCAGAGACTCCAGCAGATACACAGATGAGAATATTTTCCTTTATTGAATACTAATTAGTAATTCAAAAATGCTATTTCTACATCACTTTTTTTTACATTAATTTTCACACTCCCTCACAAAGGTGAGGTTCACGATTATTTTAATTATGAACCCCACCCACTTACATGTGTGTGTGCTGTGAAAAAAGTGTACGTGTAGAATAATTAATTTTATCAACATTAAGACGCGTTTGAAATGGGTAATTATATTATCAAAACAAAATTTATTAAGTGCACCACAATTTTTAATTTTTTTCCTTATTTACTTAAATAGCCTTAAGTAGAATTACATAATTAGGATTAATATACTTTTAATTAATCACACCACAAACCTAAGCCTAATTTCTTCTTCTTCTTCTACTTCTTTTCTATAATTGCTAGTCTTGTTCCGTGATACCACATGTAAGAATTCATCAATTTGTTTAATTATTCTTTATATATATTCTTCTTCTTCTTCTTTTCTACGTGTAGAATGGTTAATTTTATCAACATTACAGACGTGTTTGAAATAGGTAATTATATTATCACCACAAAATCTATTAAGTGCACCACAATTTTTAATTTTTTCCTTATTTATAGGAGTGGGCGCGGTCTGATTCGGTCCGATTCTAAAAGAAACCGAACCGAACCGAACCGAATACCAATACGAATTTTAGAAATGGAACCATTGGTTCCATTGTTAGCTATGGAAACGAACCGGAACCAAACCAATCGATTCCGGTTCGGTTCTTTACATAAAGATGTCAAAATAAAATGTTTACTAATAAGAAATCTAAAGAAACTACCAATGTAATAATTTTAAAAAAATATATAAGAACCGAACATATTATACAAAGATTAAAAGAAAACTAAGTATATGAATTTTAAAACAATATGCAAATAATATAAGTTACTATTATAAAACAAATATTAACTTATATAAACCGTCTAGTACTTCAATGATTAAACAAACTTTCATCAAAATGAAAATAAAATAAAAGTGTTTGGAGAGTAAGTCATATATTTTACTGAAAAAAATGCCAACCGAAGGGTCCCTTTTTAATATTTTCTTGAGCCTTCAAATAATCACAATTCAGTATTTTTCTTAATTATTTAATTAAAAAGTGACATATGACTATATACATAAACATTCGTTTCATTTCCATATGTCACTGCCTCTACAATTTTTTTTTTTTCAAATTTTGTTTTACTTTGATAGAAGTTTCTTTTCACTTTAAGAGTAAGTCATATATATTACCAATTTGGTTTCGGGACAAATTGGAGAGTAAGTCTTATATTTTACCAAAAAAGAAAAAAAATGCCCACTAAAAAAATTCTATGAGAACCGTTCAGTTCCCTGCAGTTCCCATACTAGAACCAAGAATCGGACCGGAACCGATCGGTTCTTAATAATTTGTCCCGAAACCAAATTATTTTTTAGAAGAACCAGAATCAAACCGGTCGGTTCTAAACGGTTCCGATCCGATTCCGAGAAAAAATGTCCACTCCTACTTATTTACTTAAATAGCCTTAAGTAAAATTACATATTTAGGATTAATATACTTTTAATTAATCACACCACAAACCTAAGCCTAATTTCTTCTTCTTCGTCTTTTCTATGATTGCTGGTCTTGTTTCGTGATACCACATGTAAGAATTCATCAATTTGTTAATTATTCTTTATATATCTTCTTCTTCTACTTCTTTTCTATAATTGCTGGTCTTGTTCCGTGATACCACATGTGTGTGTGTGTGTGTGTGTGTGTATATATATATGTAGATATATGTACATGTATATGTATATATATGTAAATGTATATATAATTTTTTTAATTTTATTTTCAATTCGTTAAATCTTATAATTGCAAAATGCGACTCTTTATCGAAAACAACATGGAGAACATATGCTCCAATTTGTTTGATCATTCTTTATAATTTTTTTCCAATTCATCTTATGTGAAGTGAGTAGCAGTAAATATATCATCTTGACTAAAAGTTATGAATGATATAGACTAAAGAAAAAGTGAAGGACCTCTCTGAAATTATAAATTAAGTTCATCGAGAAAAAGATTCAGACCCATTTTTTAGAAATCAAGTTTTCTTCTTCTTCTTTATCTTCCCCTTCTTTGAAAAAATAATTAATAAAATTAGTGTGGATGCATCCAATATAAAACGTACACTGTGGAAAGAAATGTCTACAAGAAAAGAAAAAGATGAAGTTTAGTTGTGGTATATTTATTAAAATTTAGAATTATTTTTTTTATATAAAATTACGTATATAATTGTAAATTTGTTGTGGTGTATTTATTAAAACTATGTTTTAATCGTGGTGTACTTGATTAATTTTGTGGTGGTAATATAATTACCCATTTGGAATAGTGATTTTTTTGAAGTGGAAATTACACTAAACTCTACCATAAAATTTCAACATTCTAAAATTAGGTTGGAAGCATAGTTATTAAAATCGACTCGCTGATTGACCCGAAAAAATCATCGGATCATTGGGTCAATGGTTCAACCGTTGGGTCGACGGTTCAATCGGTGGATCGACGGTTAGACTTTAATTTTAATTAAATTATATTTTTGAAATAAAAAGAAAACTATTTTTCAAAATATAATATATATAGTTTGCTCCCATTAGTAAACAAAGCATCACCACGTGCCAGAATGGTCATGGAGTTGAAATCTCTCCTTGCCAGCTACGGTTTGAATCACAGCTTCATCAAATTTAGCATGACATTTTTATTTCAATTTAGTAATAATCCTGTTCACACGTTGAACCGGATTCGATTCCACCGAAAACAGTCCGGTTCGACAGTTCTCGGTTCGGACCGATCAATCCGGTCCGATTCTAATAACTGTACCCACTACCCATGCCAGTAATTCTCTCCCTCTCCCTACCCACTTTATCCCTTCACTCACTCTCTCTCCACTCTCTTTGTGCCCTAATTAAGTCTATTACTCTTTGTGCATTACCTTAATTCTCCACACGTTGCAGCGCTACCATGTGCAACGATGTGGCATCTATGACCTAGTTCTCCACACGTTATAGCACCGTCGTGTGTAATGACACACCGCTGGTGGTGGTGGTATGACAGATCTATGAAGGAGTGGCTTCCAATGAGGTGAAGAATATTTGGTGGAATAGGTGATTGACGACAATTTTGTTAATGGTATGAGATGGTGGTCTCGATCGCTGTTGCGCAGATCTGATTTGGTATTGGTTTGTGCAATAATTTTGTTGGTTGTGTTTGATAAGTGTGTTTTTACACACTTATTTAGCTCACAAACATAACTTAAACATGGACAAGTAGTTGAATTGTAACTTAATCTCGTTAAATTCATACAATGTAAGTGTTTCTATGGAAAAGATGGAATTCAGAAGAAAAGAGCCGAAAAAGGACCAAAATGGAACAAAGGGATAGTTCGGGGACCAAAGGTGCAAATATTGGAAAGTTGAGCTAAAGTACAGAACTAGAATGAAAATATACCAAGTATGAGATTGAGGATGATAGAAGACGATCGGAGGAAAAAAGAAGTAACATTGGACTGAATTGAAGAAAAGTGAAAGATGAAGGACTAAATTACAATTAATCAAAAGATGAGCCGAGCAAATGATCAAGGAATTGATTGACCCAAACATCAATTAGGAGTCAATATTTGATAATGGAATAAAGGAAAGAAAGAAAAGAGATCAAGAAAAGAGAAAACGGAGTTTAGGGACCAAAATGGCAAGGTTGTAAAGTTACAACCTTGCGGCCGCATGTAACTATACCATGCGGCCGCACATGATCTAGCAGGGATTTGATTGAGCTGAAAATTTGAACCATGCGAACTCATGGCTTTAACTTTCGAAGAAAAATCTGAACTTTCGTTTTTAATTGAAACTCTTTCGGGGCTCTGTGAGGACATGATATAAAAGCAAAAATTCATCAGAAATAGGGCAGAATGTCTAGGGAGAAGAAAAATACAATTTTTGGAGGTAAGGAACATGAACTTGAAGCCGATTTCACAAGAATTCAAGTGGGTTTTTAAGGTTTTATTCAAGAATTCAAGGAATTTTCATACGGGTGCTATTCTTTCTATTTATTAATTTCATTTTTTTCTGTAATTATGAATCTTCTAGGCTAGGTTTTCAATTACTAGGTGATCGATGAACCGTTGTTTGTTATTTTAATTCCATATTTCATGAATTTAATATAAAGACTCGTTTGAATAATTTGATTAGTTTACATGCATTAATTTTCTTCCGCAATTAGTGGCCAATGATTGTGTGAGTGTTGATGACTTATTTCTTACATTCGAGGGAAGTGGAATAGGTTCGATAATGTGTAAATTAACATAGGATCCGATAGGGGATAGAGATATATCCCTATACTTTATACAATTCTTAAATTGTTCACAAAACTACATGCATTCTTATATGTTTGCATCATCCATAGAGATATAGGTTGGTGGTGTGCAAGAATAGGTCTAATATATATCGAGAGAGTATATTGGATAGAATTAGGAACATTGAATTGGCAAATTTTCATCGAATCATTAATTTTATGAAATTAGGGTTTTTATAACTTCAATTGGTGATTCGTGATCCTAGTGACTTTAATTTGATTAATTTCCATAAATTAGCTTTTGAATTTTCATAATTTCATTTACTTGAGTGTTTGAGTCGTTAAATTAGAGAAATTTCGAAATTAGAGTTTCTAATTGAGAAATTAGGGGTTTCAATAAAAATTAGGGTTTTTAGTGAAATTAGGGCTTTTTGCATTTTGACCATATTTTCACTCTATTAGATTCGGTTAAGGTTATATTATATAGAATTGAATTACTCATTCTCTGAGGAACGATATTCGGACTTATTAAAATCTATTTTATTACTTTTTACGAACCGTACACTTGCGTTAGTTTTAAATCGAAAGAATTATTTCGTGAACAGTGTTGGTCGCTGCGATGGTGGTGATGTTGGCTGTGGTGGTGGAGGTGGGAATGGCTCTTGCTATTGCATTGGGTTTTGGTTGTGGTGATTTTTTGGTGATGCAGTGGTAGAAGTATGTGGTGGCGACGGTGGGGAACAAAGGTGTGGTGGTGTTGTGGTTGGATGAATGGTGTGGTTGCGGTGATGTACCATGATGGTTTCTTGTTATCTATTCTGTGAATGAGTGTTTGAGTGTGGTGGTGGTTGAAAATGTTAGAGGTGGTGATTGCAGTGATTGTGGAGGCGGCGACAACAACAAGAAGACGATGACATTTTGGATCTGATTTGTTGGTGGAGAGCTGGTAGTGGCGGCGCGGGTTGTTGTGGTGAAGCGGTAATGGTGCTGCTGCTGCTTGTAGTCGTGATGGCAATGGTGTGGTTGTTTGTGGCGGTGACGGTGATTACTTGAGATGGGGTTGGATGTTTGTGACTAATTATTTGATTGATTATGACTAACAACTAGTTAATTTGTAATATGTGACCTAAAAGTTTTGACTGTGACTCAAAATTGTTTAATTTGTGACTGAAAAATTAATTGTGACCAATTAATCTAATAATTTGTAGTGAATAAATGAGCAGTGACCAATAAAAGTTTTAATTTGTGACCGACGAATAATCTATTACTGAAAATTTGTGACAACATAATAAGTTGTGATTTATAATATTTATGATTTGTGACTAAAAAATAAATCGTGACTTATAAATTTATTCATTTGTGTGTGACCGATAAATTTTTTGAATTGTGACCGTAAAATTATTTGTAACATATAATTTCATATTTATGACCAAAAAATAATAAGTGACTAATTAAATTGTTAATTTGTAACCAAATTATATAGATTTGTGATTTAAATATATTTAATTAATAAATTAATTAATTAAATCATAAATAATTTTACTAAAAATCGGATTTTTGAAGTTTGAAACTTGTTTTCTTGATTTTGAAATATGATATACTTAAACTCTTACTTATGAAATTTGCCATTTTTGGAATAACATGGAGTTAAAAAATAGTAAAAAATTATATTTACGTATAAAATATTATAGTAAAAAAATGTATTTTTGAAAATGAGTTTTGAAAAAGAAAAAAAAATTTTGTAAAAACGATTATCGAACATAGGCTTAATTTTAACTACATATTTCATGGGATACACAAGTTTTCAATCATATATTTAATCAACTTTTATCAAAATTTAGTAAAAATTTGATTTTTATCTAAATTTATCTAAATCAAACAAGGACGGGCTATACTTTTTTTTTATTATCTAAATTAATTTTTAATAATTTAAATTAGGAATAGTGTGTGGATATGTTAAGCCCCTGTTTGGTATCAATAAAATTCATATTTAAATCTAAGTAAAAATCAACAATCAATTTTTTTAATAAAATTGATGAATATAGAAGACCCTCCAATTTTCGGTTCTTTCCAATAGTTTTATATGAATCATCAAATCGTGATCGCGTGTTATTATTATTAGCTTATGTCCACACCACTCTTCAAAGACTCTAGCCAAAAAATTCCTTCACACATCACCTCATTATTGGGTGCAGGCTACCCATTTTCACAACTATACAATTTACACACTTCACAGAAACTACTCTAAACTTGATGACCTGCTCCACCTTATCTTCAAATATTCGTCGACAGAAAGAGGGCTGCTTTGCTCCATACTGCTGAACGATGTAGAATTATCATTCACATCAAGAAATGCAAGGCTTAAATGGGATTCTGCACTTGAATCTGGATAAACTTCATCATCAATATCATCCAGGCTTTCAGAATCATTGTGATCACTGTATTTGGTTTTTACATCATTCATACAATTTTCCCCGGTTAGGATACCTAGTATCTGTAATATAGACATAAAAATGAAACACTCTTAAACCACAATTGTCAAGAAATAAGCCCTAATCTCAATTCCGAAATAGTGAAAGAAATAAAAAAAAAAAAAATAGAAATGTGCACACTGAAAACATTTCAAGTAGTTCACCCTCAGAGTTATGTTAGTTCTCTGTTTCTTGAATACAGAAAATACGGCCCCTCAGATTTCTATTCATGATGTAGGAAACAATTTGGAAGGTCCAAAATGGATATTAAAGAGAGGTTGAAGCAAGGTCAATTGTTTCACGTATGTCAAGTATGAAATTAGAATACTGCTTTTGTTTTTTTATTTGGATGCTAGAGGAGAAGCAATATAAAGATCGGTTACATATTTTGGATGGTTCGACAGTCCCTATGAATGCAATTGCAACTTATGATTTTATAAGCGGTGACTCAGGTGAAGTCAGTTGTGATCATTTTGTTCGTGGTGATTCAAACAATAATATTGAAAAATCTTCTAGTAGCTCAGGTGGAGCTAGTTGTGATAGATCATGTTGCTTGTGGTGATTTGACCAAGTTTGACAATTTAGGTGGAGTTGGAAGTGCTCGTGATGATTCGAGCAGTTTTGGTGGCTTGGTTGGAGTTGGAAGTGAACGAATGATTCAAGCAAGGTTGGCGCGCAAGGTAATTTTGCTAGTAAGCAGGACTTGAATTTAGTTCACAATTGCTAAGTATGCCCGACGAGGGGCATGGTATATCTAGAAGGGGCATGGTAGAAGACGTGGAGTAATTTGTTTGGAGTGTTTCTACTTCAAGAATTATTTTTGGAGTTTATTGAAGAGTTAAGTTTTATTTCTTTTAGTGGAAATCATGTCAATGTCAAGGTTGGCGCGCAAGGTAATTTTGCTAGTAAGCAGGACTTGAATTTAGTTCACAATTGCTAAGTATGCCCGACGAGGGGCATGGTATATCTAGAAGGGGCATGGTAGAAGACGTGGAGTAATTTGTTTGGAGTGTTTCTACTTCAAGAATTATTTTTGGAGTTTATTGAAGAGTTAAGTTTTATTTCTTTTAGTGGAAATCATGTCAATGTCAGAATTGGGTTATGACCTGAATTTAATTGAGGATTTGATTGGAAATACTATTTGAAGAGTATTGAAAGTTCATAGTAAGCTTGAAGATATCTTGAAGTAGTCCAAGGTAAATTTGACTCTTATTTCATTACAAATTCCCCATTATTGATTTTACTCATTGTATTGAGATTTCACCTTATATTACTCTTTATGTATTAATTATTCTAGTATGTTAGGAATTCTTTGGTTAAAAATATGTGGTATACAACACACATTGAAATTGACCAATAATTCAATTAGTTATTAGTCCAAAGAGATCATTTATAACTTCTTACTGTTGATTATAGTGAATTCTCCGCCTTTGCCCGTGGTTTTCGAGGATTTGGGTTTTTACGTAAATTTTGTTTTCCTTGTAATCATTTATTTTCGTATTACCCATATTTTCTCATTCTTTAATTATTTAGCTGGATTCTCAACAAAATGATATTAGAGCTGTTCCGCTTTCAACAAAATGGTTTCAGGTTTGGTGCAGATTATAACAAGGCATAAAGGTCTAATTTGGAATAATGAACTACGTACCTGGGAAATTTTGGGACGAAGACGGGCAGCTTGTTTTAGACAGAGGGTAGCTGCTAGAGCCATTCTTTGCATTTGATCCACATTAATATCAACTTCCAAATTTGGATCCAAAATGCTTTTTAGATCTCCAGTTTCTAGTCTAGTTTTTGCCTGGATACCGAAGTTATTTTAGTTATACCATAAAGAACTAATGGAAAAATGAATGTTTTATCCTGCAAAAAGATTCTTACCCACATGACTAAGCTTTCTTGACCTTTTGGAGTCTCCAAACCAATTGGTTTTCTTCCCGATAGCAATTCTAGTAGAACTACACCGAAAGCATACACATCAATCTTGTCACTGACTTTCCCATACATAAAATACTCAGGAGCAAGATAGCCAAAGGTTCCTACTACATCTCTGTCACTCAGGAAAGAGGCTGATGTAGGGCCCCATATTGCCAATCCAAAGTCACACAACTGTTCAAGAAAGAAAACGCTATCTCAAAAGGTCTGAATTTTGATTTGATTACTAGGGATATGAATCTGATCGACTACCTGTGGTTCTAAATCATCGGTGAGAAGAATATTTGAGGATTTGACATCTCTATGGATTACAGGCCTTGGACATTCATTGTGTAGGTAATTTAGTGCTTCAGCAATCCCAACAGCTACTTTGAATCTTACTTCCCATTGCAAAACAGACTTTTCCTTTCTGTTACCTGATTTGGAAATCGTATTAGGAAGTGCATGTTTAGAGAATTATTAAGAGAAAAAGATCCATCCTCCTTAAACTTACAGTGCAAGTTCTCTTCTAAATTTCCTTTAGACAAAAAGTCATAAACAGAGATTAAATTAGTATGTTCTACACAAATCCCAAGCAAATGAGCAATTCTTTTGTGCTTCAATGTGGTCATTATATCGACTTCCAGTATAAAATCCTTCCATGCTTCCTTTGTTGACCTCAAAATTTTAATTGCCACTCGTTTGCCATCAGGAAGAAGCCCCTTGTATACAGAGTTACACCCTCCTTGTCCAATAAGATTGGCTGCAACAATTAAATGGAAGGAAGTTTAAACTTTCAGAAAGTGAAACGAAAAATGAAAATAAGAAAGAGAGAAGCTTTGCTTAACACAATCCAACCTGTAGAGAACTGAGAAGCTGACATTCTGAGCACATCATAGATGAACCATTTGCAGGTATGTGGATTCGTTTCGAGTATCAGCTCCAACTCTTGGGGCAGCCCTTTGAGACTAGATATTTTGTCTACTGTACCATAGGGTGTACAGTTTCTGTATTCTCCTCCCAAAACATCCCCCGTGTTACCCAGAATGGACTTTAATTCAGAAACTTCTAGCGAAGATCGACTTGGTAAGCTCATTACCCATCTCACAACCGACATTTTTCTTGCTTCAAGACTTGGTTGAGTTATAGAACTAGATGTTTGGAGCAGGGGCCAACCCGGCCTCTGCTGTGTAAAATCCTCTGCAGGAAGAGAAATCGAACTCAGAGAACCTTTTTTGTGTCTTCCAACAGGGCTAAAAACTTCATCTTTGGAGGTCAGAATCCCATCATAACTTAGCCTTCCCATCTCTGATATCTCAGATACACCAAATTCAGATTGAGTATCTTTGAAAGTGGGGATTCCAGTTAAATAAAAACTCGGCTTCGGATCTTTTTGAGGACCTGGAATCATCAAAAACAAATTCAGTATATATTGAATCGTCAGTGAAATATTTTCTCACTTAGATAGAACAGAGTCTGAACCTTCAGGTTGATTTTTGGAACTCCTCCTGAACACAACCTTCTCATTGTGAATTGCCATGACTTCAGTCGTCGAAGGAAGTCGCCTTGAACAATATTTAGCAATTGAAGACCAACCCCTGAGAAATCTTCATTCAAGACTCCAATAAAAAGATTACAGGAATACAAACTAATGCAAATAGCCAATTACCACTATCCTTTTTCTACGTACCCGAAAGAACTAAACTTAGTTATCCCCACTATAACAACCGATGCAGAATGGTTCTTTGCTTCTCTCACCAGAACTTTTCTGATAGAATTTCCTTTCAAGACCTCCGAACTGAGAGCAACCTGGACACCCCCAACCCCACCAAAAAAAAGACAAAAGGAAAAAAGAAGTTGATAGAGTTTTCGCTTTACCCTTAGAAAGTGACCAAACACTAAAAAAGAAAAAATAAAAGAAACCAACCTGCCTTTGGTTACACATCCCTTTATAGTCTTCCAAATAATCATCCAACAAAGCATTCTCTCTCGGGACGGAGTCTGTAAGATGAAAAATTATGTAAGAACTCAATAGGTACAAGTAATTTAGAATTAGAAGCAATTTACAAATGCCCATGCCAGTACCAGAACTCCTACAAACGTGAATGGCAATCACGCAATCTCCAGGATCAGCTACTTTCATAACAGCCCAATCCATTAACTCTTTAGTATGGCCATCGAATTGTATTCCCACAACCACAATTTTCCCAAGCCTCTCCACAGTCATTTTTCCCCTTAGTTAATTGATGGCCAGTAATTTGATAATTTCACCTTCTCAACACATCCATAGGGTTCCTCTTACTTGTATTTGCAGGAATTTTGCACGTACTTATTCAATTCTCGATATGATCACAATCTGTACCAAAACATTGAATAGTCACTTCCCACTTTAAATGCAACATACTCCAGCCGACAATAAAATGTATGAACATAATTATTCGAAAACAATCAGAAAATCCAATTCTCCAGTTCTAAAGCATTTCTCTTTCCCGCTAATGAATATAAAACTAAAGTAAAATCAATGGATACGATATCTATGGATGCACGTTGAATTTGCAAAAAACTAAACAGGATCCGACAACAAAAGCCTACCTAAAATTTTTGAATAATTCATATTATTCAAAGTGAAATAAGCCCTAATCTCAATTCCGAAATAGTGAAAGAAATAAAAAAAAAAAAAAATAGAAATGTGCACACTGAAAACATTTCAAGTAGTTCACCCTCAGAGTTATGTTAGTTCTCTGTTTCTTGAATACAGAAAATACGGCCCCTCAGATTTCTATTCATGATGTAGGAAACAATTTGGAAGGTCCAAAATGGATATTAAAGAGAGGTTGAAGCAAGGTCAATTGTTTCACGTATGTCAAGTATGAAATTAGAATACCGCTTTTGTTTTTTTATTTGGATGCTAGAGGAGAAGCAATATAAAGATCGGTTATATATTTTGGATGGTTCGACAGTCCCTATGAATGCAATTGCAACTTATGATTTTATAAGCGGTGACTCAGGTGGAGTCAGTTGTGATCATTTTGTTCGTGGTGATTCGAACAATAATATTGAAAAATCTTCCAGTAGCTCAGGTGGAGCTAGTTGTGATAGATCATGTTGCTTGTGGTGATTTGACCAAGTTTGACAATTTAGGTGGAGTTGGAAGTGCTCGTGATGATTCGAGCAGTTTTGGTGGCTTGGTTGGAGTTGGAAGTGAACGAATGATTCAAGCAAGGTTGGCGCGCAAGGTAATTTTGCTAGTAAGCAGGACTTGAATTTAGTTCACAATTGCTAAGTATGCCCGACGAGGGGCATGGTATATCTAGAAGGGGCATGGTAGAAGACGTGGAGTAATTTGTTTGGAGTGTTTCTACTTCAAGAATTATTTTTGGAGTTTATTGAAGAGTTAAGTTTTATTTCTTTTAGTGGAAATCATGTCAATGTTAGAATTGGGTTATGACCTGAATTTTTATTGAGGATTTGATTGGAAATACTATTTGAAGAGTATTGAAAGTTGGTAGTAAGCTTGAAGATATCTTGAAGTAGTCCAAGGTAAATTTGACTCTTATTTCATTACAAATTCCCCATTATTGATTTTACTCATTGTATTGAGATTTCACCTTATATTACTCTTTATGTATTAATTATTCTAGTATGTTAGGAATTCTTTGGTTAAAAATATGTGGTATACAACACACATTGAAATTGACCAATAATTCAATTAGTTATTAGTCCAAAGAGATCATTTATAACTTCTTACTGTTGATTATAGTGAATTCTCCGCCTTTGCCCGTGGTTTTCGAGGATTTGGGTTTTTACGTAAATTTTGTTTTCCTTGTAATCATTTATTTTCGTATTACCCATATTTTCTCATTCTTTAATTATTTAGCTGGATTCTCAACAAAATGATATTAGAGCTGTTCCGCTTTCAACAAAATGGTTTCAGGTTTGGTGCAGATTATAACAAGGCATAAAGGTCTAATTTGGAATAATGAACTACGTACCTGGGAAATTTTGGGACGAAGACGGGCAGCTTGTTTTAGACAGAGGGTAGCTGCTAGAGCCATTCTTTGCATTTGATCCACATTAATATCAACTTCCAAATTTGGATCCAAAATGCTTTTTAGATCTCCAGTTTCTAGTCTAGTTTTTGCCTGGATACCGAAGTTATTTTAGTTATACCATAAAGAACTAATGGAAAAATGAATGTTTTATCCTGCAAAAAGATTCTTACCCACATGACTAAGCTTTCTTGACCTTTTGGAGTCTCCAAACCAATTGGTTTTCTTCCCGATAGCAATTCTAGTAGAACTACACCGAAAGCATACACATCAATCTTGTCACTGACTTTCCCATACATAAAATACTCAGGAGCAAGATAGCCAAAGGTTCCTACTACATCTCTGTCACTCAGGAAAGAGGCTGATGTAGGGCCCCATATTGCCAATCCAAAGTCACACAACTGTTCAAGAAAGAAAACGCTATCTCAAAAGGTCTGAATTTTGATTTGATTACTAGGGATATGAATCTGATCGACTACCTGTGGTTCTAAATCATCGGTGAGAAGAATATTTGAGGATTTGACATCTCTATGGATTACAGGCCTTGGACATTCATTGTGTAGGTAATTTAGTGCTTCAGCAATCCCAACAGCTACTTTGAATCTTACTTCCCATTGCAAAACAGACTTTTCCTTTCTGTTACCTGATTTGGAAATCGTATTAGGAAGTGCATGTTTAGAGAATTATTAAGAGAAAAAGATCCATCCTCCTTAAACTTACAGTGCAAGTTCTCTTCTAAATTTCCTTTAGACAAAAAGTCATAAACAGAGATTAAATTAGTATGTTCTACACAAATCCCAAGCAAATGAGCAATTCTTTTGTGCTTCAATGTGGTCATTATATCGACTTCCAGTATAAAATCCTTCCATGCTTCCTTTGTTGACCTCAAAATTTTAATTGCCACTCGTTTGCCATCAGGAAGAAGCCCCTTGTATACAGAGTTACACCCTCCTTGTCCAATAAGATTGGCTGCAACAATTAAATGGAAGGAAGTTTAAACTTTCAGAAAGTGAAACGAAAAATGAAAATAAGAAAGAGAGAAGCTTTGCTTAACACAATCCAACCTGTAGAGAACTGAGAAGCTGACATTCTGAGCACATCATAGATGAACCATTTGCAGGTATGTGGATTCGTTTCGAGTATCAGCTCCAACTCTTGGGGCAGCCCTTTGAGACTAGATATTTTGTCTACTGTACCATAGGGTGTACAGTTTCTGTATTCTCCTCCCAAAACATCCCCCGTGTTACCCAGAATGGACTTTAATTCAGAAACTTCTAGCGAAGATCGACTTGGTAAGCTCATTACCCATCTCACAACCGACATTTTTCTTGCTTCAAGACTTGGTTGAGTTATAGAACTAGATGTTTGGAGCAGGGGCCAACCCGGCCTCTGCTGTGTAAAATCCTCTGCAGGAAGAGAAATCGAACTCAGAGAACCTTTTTTGTGTCTTCCAACAGGGCTAAAAACTTCATCTTTGGAGGTCAGAATCCCATCATAACTTAGCCTTCCCATCTCTGATATCTCAGATACACCAAATTCAGATTGAGTATCTTTGAAAGTGGGGATTCCAGTTAAATAAAAACTCGGCTTCGGATCTTTTTGAGGACCTGGAATCATCAAAAACAAATTCAGTATATATTGAATCGTCAGTGAAATATTTTCTCACTTAGATAGAACAGAGTCTGAACCTTCAGGTTGATTTTTGGAACTCCTCCTGAACACAACCTTCTCATTGTGAATTGCCATGACTTCAGTCGTCGAAGGAAGTCGCCTTGAACAATATTTAGCAATTGAAGACCAACCCCTGAGAAATCTTCATTCAAGACTCCAATAAAAAGATTACAGGAATACAAACTAATGCAAATAGCCAATTACCACTATCCTTTTTCTACGTACCCGAAAGAACTAAACTTAGTTATCCCCACTATAACAACCGATGCAGAATGGTTCTTTGCTTCTCTCACCAGAACTTTTCTGATAGAATTTCCTTTCAAGACCTCCGAACTGAGAGCAACCTGGACACCCCCAACCCCACCAAAAAAAAGACAAAAGGAAAAAAGAAGTTGATAGAGTTTTCGCTTTACCCTTAGAAAGTGACCAAACACTAAAAAAGAAAAAATAAAAGAAACCAACCTGCCTTTGGTTACACATCCCTTTATAGTCTTCCAAATAATCATCCAACAAAGCATTCTCTCTCGGGACGGAGTCTGTAAGATGAAAAATTATGTAAGAACTCAATAGGTACAAGTAATTTAGAATTAGAAGCAATTTACAAATGCCCATGCCAGTACCAGAACTCCTACAAACGTGAATGGCAATCACGCAATCTCCAGGATCAGCTACTTTCATAACAGCCCAATCCATTAACTCTTTAGTATGGCCATCGAATTGTATTCCCACAACCACAATTTTCCCAAGCCTCTCCACAGTCATTTTTCCCCTTAGTTAATTGATGGCCAGTAATTTGATAATTTCACCTTCTCAACACATCCATAGGGTTCCTCTTACTTGTATTTGCAGGAATTTTGCACGTACTTATTCAATTCTCGATATGATCACAATCTGTACCAAAACATTGAATAGTCACTTCCCACTTTAAATGCAACATACTCCAGCCGACAATAAAATGTATGAACATAATTATTCGAAAACAATCAGAAAATCCAATTCTCCAGTTCTAAAGCATTTCTCTTTCCCGCTAATGAATATAAAACTAAAGTAAAATCAATGGATACGATATCTATGGATGCACGTTGAATTTGCAAAAAACTAAACAGGATCCGACAACAAAAGCCTACCTAAAATTTTTGAATAATTCATATTATTCAAAGTGACCAAAACATATAAAATTTGAAAATGTATAGCATACCTACTTTCAACTAACGAACAAATTAATATTTGTAAGGTGGCAAATGACGAAAAATCTTACTTGAGCAAACTGAACTGTTTAATTTATATTACTGAAAATCAAAAGAAAAATAATTTTTGAATTTGATATGAAGAGAAAGTGAGAAGGAGCCATCAGAGAAGGTGCCATGGGGAATCGTCGGTGAGAGAGAGATAAAGGTCGCTCTTACGCATGGAGAGAATTTTTAGTTTTTTGTTCGTTATTCGTAGAGGGCAAAAAATTTGCGGAAACCCATGATATCCGGTCACTCATCAATTCGGTCTCACAACTCTGGACCGGATACTATCTAGTTAACAAACAATTTGATAGGATAGGATTGAACTTACAAAAATTAGACGAAAACGCGAAATATATTTCTCAGAATAAAGCTCCTCTACCAAAAAATGATTTACACCCTACATGATAGATACTAACATGTGTGTGGGTTCCGAGCCGAGCCCACACGAATAAAAAAATGTAAAAAGTCCTGACCCCTGACTCTTCATGTGTCTGATCTGTCAAGAAAGGTATAAACACCCTTCTGTACAACCAGCAAGGCCAGTATTTCTTATGCAATCAACTTTAGTTGCATGTATGGTATGGGCGGCATAATGTTCCACAGCAAAATAAACGTGGTCCGTTTTGATGGTTCCAGGAGAAGTATATTACATAATATTTTTTTATTTTTATTATGTGTGACAAAATAAAGATTAATATACTCAATAAAATAGAAGAATTAATTTGTCTTTACTGCCAACTTATTATGAATTAAGTGTGTTTGAGCAACATTATTTTTGAAAAATGTATTTTGAAATAATAGATTAATGGAGAATGTGAGGTTAAAAAATAAGGAAAAATTTTAAATTTACGTATAATATTATTTTATTGAAGAATGCGTGATTGAAATGATGTCAAATCACTATTTAATAATTATTTTTTTTTTCAAAATAATAGGACACAAACAAGGCTAAATTCCAGAAATCAACCCTTACTTTGATAACGTGAAATACAATGTGTCACCCTCAGATTATAAGGACTGTCACCTCGGTGATTACATCATAGACGCAATTAGAGTCGTGTATTTATGTCAAATCGAGAAGGTCATAGATGATTGTGGCAGTTAAATGGGTAGTTAGTCTATGGAAAATTATGGGTGTACAGAATTATTATTATTTTATTTTTTTTTATAGAAAGTGTACCAACTCTCACAAAAGTATGGATCCCACATGAATAAATAACGTTAAAAAATTAACCCACCCTTCTCCCCACCCCGCCTCCATGTGAGGTGTTGGTAAGGGTTCTGAACCTTTACCTCTTGTACACCTATCATAACCCTTAGTCTATCTCTACCTACTTATAAATTTGACAAATAATTGTGATCTTTAATTTAAGTCAATCTTTCGTTAAATACGTATTTTACTAAGATCATATGAGAGTTTGTTATAACTAAATGAGATCCATAAGATTGAATTGATTTAAATTAAAAGTCACGATTATTTGTAAAATAAATGTATTACATTTCTGAGTGGGAGGAAAGATCCCATTAATCTATAAGATTGAAAGTGATAGTGATTATTAATTCATCCATTTCTCAGTAGCCCGATGGTCAAAATACAACAGATTATTACTTTGACTCTTCACTGAGAATTAACAATTTTTCGTAGGTCAAATAATTTCAGCTATTACCATAAAGTGCGCCTCCTTTAATTTCAAACACTTATTTATAATTTTTTAATTAATTTTAATCTCTTGAATTTATATTCTAAATTAAAATTACACGTTAGTTTTGGATTTTTGAGGACAAAATATAGACATCACTTGCCCCCCAAGGCACATCTGAGTTGGTGGAACAATCATTATGGCGGGCTTGCAACCTCAGCGTAGAAAGTTTGATTCCTGATCAACGCAGTGAGGAGGGTTCTCTTGAGGCCAGGAGTATAAACCAAGTGAGAACCTGGGAGCCAACAAGGACATAACCTGTGATTTACTTCCTCGAGTCACTGAGGGGCCGGTGGCTAGAGGTCCAGGATTTAGTCTGGCGAAACTGGGATACCTGGGTATCAAAAAAAAAAAAATATATATATATATATATAGACATCACTTCATTTGGTGGGATGTCTATATCCATTACAATTAGGCCATGTGACGACTGGCGATGGATAAGAAAATGAATTGGGATAGGTACTTCCAATACCAATTCTTTGGGACTTTTCAAGTCAATTGCCTTAAAATTCCTCAATAAATGCATCATTGTCGTAAAGAATTATTCTAAACCATTAATTTGCAACATTATTGTTTTAATTGTGTAAAGAAGAAGATATGATTCAAATGAGTTTATTAAGCTTAAACCATGGTGCATTAAACAAGCAAATCGACTACCGCCTTAATTTTTTTCTTCTCAAATTTAGTACAATGATTTGATAAGGAAAAAAGGTATTAATCCGACTACCATCTTAATAATTTATTTAGTAAGGAACGTTTAGCATTAAACCAACTACAAAGTCATTATGTTGAGAGTCCTTGAGAATTTCAACATCTTTTGGCACTTGAAATTAAAAAGTAAGATCGTTTCAATTTGAAAAGAAAGGCCAATTAAAAATTTGGCAAGCAAGGATGTTTACTATATTCGACTAGACATTCTATTAATAAATTTCGTCACTTTGATCATCAGTATTCAAATTCAATATCATGCAGTTGCTAGATTTCCAATTGCTATCCGATTTATTGCAGATTGAAGGACAATTTGTGTGTGTGTCAGACAATTAACAGTTCTCACCTTGGCCGAATTTATACTTCAATTTTGCAAAATAATAAATTTATCACCTGACGAAATGTTAAATATTCATTGTGGTGACCAATAATAAGTATATATCAAAATTTATTTTGGTCCAATACTTTATTAAAAAAAAAAGTTTGAACCCTAACCTTGAGGGCCCCACCACCCCGCCCTTAGAGATTCGTGAGGGAGGTAAATCGCGAAATGTGCCCCAACATGTCAGGAAATAAGAACTGCCTGTACACTACACCAGCAAAGAGTCCAATTTCATGTCTCAAGAATTGAACTACCACATTGCGACTGCAAACAAACCATGAAATAACCTCACTCATGTCCTTTGAACCATTAGGCTACGCCCCGGGGGGCGTTTTGGTCCGATACTTAATATTACCATTAATCCTCCTTATAGTCATTTGAATTTTTTGGATCTTTGAACCAACAATTCTTGCTAGACCAAGGAGCCATAAACAGGTATACACAGCACGAAATTTATACATTATTGGCATGTTTAGATTGCCCAGATTGGACAATAAACATGCTCTCTAGGTTTCAGTGTTCAGCTTCATATCATAGTACACACCTCAATGACAGTTATACAGCTGATGTAAGAAAACCAACAAACTGAGAGCTCCCTAACACAGTCTCACAGGGTACCGTATCGTTTTGGTATCAGATTAACCCAGAAGAAATGCATAAGATCATCTCTCCTCTCCTTAACCTTTCTTTTAGCAATCACAGTATACTGCAAGCCTTTTGACCTCTACTCTTCTTTTTCTTCTTGTGTTTCGTTGGCTGCAGAACAGCCTTAATTGCGGCATCAAAGACAGCCTTCACATTCTGCAATATTTGGTGGAAGATTAGTGACAAGTATCGTTAGTTAAAGAAAAAGGTGATGTGCCAATGAACCTGCTGCGTCTTTGCACTGCATTCAATATAAGCAGCTGCTCCGATCATTCTCCTCAACTCCTCTCCCTTCAAAAGTAAGTCGGAAATTTCAAAAATGGAAAGTTCTTTTGGAAACCAAGCATGAAAATTGGATAGTCCCTATGACAATTTATTAAACATGAATGCAACAATATACCTGAGCAGTCGTAATGGGTACTGCTCCTGGATTGTCTGAAAAGAACTGTTTATCCTCGCGAAGATCTACAAGGAAACAAAGAATAGGTACTTGGATTAAATAACAAAAAGAACACAGATCTAGATTTATTTATTTATTTTTATTTTTTTTTTTTTGGGGAGGGGAGAAAATGAGAAACGTGAGAAAATACAAATTCAGAAAACAGGATAACCAATAAGCAGATCTACATAAAGATGATGGAGCTAATTCCACAAGCATGATATTGATTATGATCAATAAAAACATGGAATTACGCAATTTTTTGACAGCTTACTTTCCCTGAGAATTGGCTTATGAACAATTTTATGTTCAAAACTTGTGAGCAGTAAATATGAGCACGTTCAGGCACGCTACTTAGCCTATATTTGGTCCATGTTCATAAAGTATTTAATGGCTTGTTTGATAGAATTTATTTGGAAATAATGAGTTATTGAGTAGTATTTTTTGGAGAATGTGTGGTTAAAAAGTAAGAAAAGTTTATTGGTTTATGTGTAAAATATTTTATTGTGTGAATGTATAGTGAAGAATGATCCAGTAACAAACAATTTAAATTTTTAAAGGATGACAAATGCGGGCTAAATAAATAATCAAGTCACTTTATATTTAGATATACCCACAAGTACTACCTACTTTTCTATCTATTCACAACTTAAACCGTTTATAAACACTTTTCCAACATGCTTTTAAACAATATACATGCAAAAATCCACATATTACCGTTAATTAGACGCCATGTAAAATTATTTGTGATTGCAGCACCTTTTTGTAGAGTGCATTCAAGCACACATTTTGTCTACTTGCAAAACAAATCAGAAAATCACTTAAATGCAACATCAGCGTATATCAGATAAGCTTGTTACGGATAGATTTTCACGTATTGACAATTTCAGACAACATGCAGTACCATTTCATCAGATACAAAACGACAAGAAATCAGTATATCTGTACTCCAAAAGGGATGGAAGGAGATTCTGACCAAGCTTTGTTCCAACAAGAATGATTGGAACACCAGGGGCGTGATGTCTCAATTCAGCAATCCACTGGGGAAAAAAAAAAAATAATAAGAGGTAGGTTATCAGCACCATGCCTTTTATCTTCTTTTTTCATATTTTCATTATTATCTATATACTAATTCTACGGTGTAAGCAAGTAGTTCACAAATAGGAAAGTCTCCTTAGCCATTTAGGTGCCAAGAGAAATATTTGTACACAAGAAAGAACAAAAAATCGAAAATCGTTTATTTCTTGTTGGTCTGAATGCCAAAACTATTCATGAATAATGAGCTACAACAAAGCTCAACTAATTTGTTCATGTCTTGTTTTTTCCCCTCCCCGCTCTTTACCAAATAAATGAAGCACGTAGCAGAAGGAAGAATCAGCGAAGGTATATCCAGTTTAACGAGGCAGCGGCAGCCTTACCTTTTTAGAAACATTTTCATAGCTAGCTTTGCTGATAAGGGAGAATGCAAGTATAAAGATATCAGTCCCAGGGTAGCTCAAAGGCCTTAATCTATTGTAATCCTCCTGACCTGCCAGATAAAATAAGAATCGACACATGCAATAATTGTTTTCATGATGAATAAGATATCAACTGATAACAACTAATATACCTGCAGTATCCCATAACCCTAGATTAACAGTGCTCCCATCCACAACAACATTAGCACTAAAATTGTCAAAAACAGTTGGCACATAATCCTGTTCAAGTTACAACAAAAGAATCAAAGGCCAAAGTGCTTCCAAGTTATAAACATGGTATACAAAATTTTACAACATGCTACAGAGAAACCCTTCAGATTTTATCAAAGTAGAAAATTGAAAACAGCTTCATATCAAACTAGATCACAGATGGGCATAATGGAGATGCTCAAGGGAGAACTCGAGACTAAGCTCAACACCGCCGGTGGGAGCAGCATGTAATGCCAATGAGCATCTACTTAGAAATGTTTTGAATCAACTCGATTAGAAGCAGAACCATCTCAAGTCTTAGCCTTGAAGAACTAACAATTTAATTGGATATTAATACATAGATCCAATGGATCTCCAACGAAGGCAGAACAAACTAAGGAAAATGAAGAAAACAGTCAAGGTTAGCAACAATTAACGAGGCGTTTCCCCGTAAAAAATATGGGATGGGTGGAAGCAGTTGGTAGCCTCTTTAAGTTTTGTTTGCCAGATGAAAGAAGACGTTTCTCTTCTCATGCACAAAAAATTAAAAAAATTAAAAAATAAAGAGAGACATTTTGGTGTACATTTTTTTGTCAAAGAAATATTTCGTGCATTTTAGTTTAGTTCTAGAATAAAGATGGATAAAGCAGCATTTCCATGCCTTGGGGGCGTATAGTCCAGGTTAAGATGTGTTGGACCTTGACATGGAGACTCTGAGGTTTGTGGACAGAGTGTTGGCCACCATGCCAACTAAGATAGTAGAGTAATAAGTGAAAAGGAGAGTTGGTGTACTGGAGTGTGTCCATGTCCTACACCTCCAATTTTCCCAAACCTCAACTCCCCACTTCTAGCACAACCCTAAACCTCCCATCCTTCAGTATAACAAGACACAGATTGAAAAGAAAAACTACACTGGGTAACCTAATGGCCCCTAAACTTCTTCGCAATCTTGGTTCGCCTATCTTCCCAAAGAAGTAAAAGACATCCTAAGACATCATCGATAAAGAAATGCCAACTTCAAAAAGATGAATGTCATATTCAGAACAAAGGGGAACTCAAGAACAAGGAAACAAGTTTATATTGCCAAAAATTCAATTCAAACTGAGAAAATATCCCATTGACCCTAGTCATCCACTAGCCAGAGAATGGAGGAGATCTAGAGAGCAAACATCATCATTAGGTTTGATGAACATATAGCTTGACAGAACCAATTGATTTGTGTTTGGATTACATATTGAGAGAAATCGCGGTTGGTAAAAATAACAAAAGGAAACATTTTTTTTGGTTCTTTTAGTCAGAAACCAAGAATACTAATCTAAATTGCCTTTTCAAGTATTTTACTGAAGCATTAAAATTCTCTAAAACAAAACTTCTTTTAATTCAACTACTACAAGGGTGATTCATGCTAAGGAAAATAGTGCAAATTTCAAAAAATCAAACTTCATACGAAACAGAAGCAAACAAAAGAAAAGCTTCCGGCTTATCAACCAGGAAACATTTTTTTTGGTTCTTTTAGTCAGAAACCAAGAATACTAATCTAAATTGCCTTTTCAAGTATTTTACTGAAGCATTAAAATTCTCTAAAACAAAACTTCTTTTAATTCAACTACTACAAGGGTGATTCATGCTAAGGAAAATAGTGCAAATTTCAAAAAATCAAACTTCATACGAAACAGAAGCAAACAAAAGAAAAGCTTCCGGCTTATCAACCAGAAGTAAGAAAAGGAAGGCAAAACCTGTCCAAAGTCTTTAGCTCTAAATTTATAAACATTGGCCTAAGGATAACGATAATATCGCAAGATGTTCTTTTCTACAACCTCACTAAAACTTAGTTAAGGTCCCAAATCTCCAGTAGAGAATTTTCCTTTCCTTGCAATCTCTATTTTCCTCACTGAGTTTTTTCATGACAACCAAGAAAACGTTATCTTTTATCTTTCACAAAATGTGTCCAATCAGCTTATCTCCTCAGATCAGAAAAAAATGAGTTACTTTACTTTCCCCCTAATGTTTGAATATTAAGGTTATAATAGACCAAGAAATTCCATCACTTTCTTGCCCTAAAAATTAAAAAATTAGAGAAAGCAGCCAAAAATTATCGCGCTCACAAATTCACAATTATCAAACATTAAGCACCAAATACAAAGCCCCAAACATTTCTTATCTTCTTGACCTGATAAAAAAATACAGCAAAAATCATATACAGATGGGGAAAAAGAAAATGAGGGGATACTTACAGTGGGAAAGGTGTTGCTGGTATACGAAATGAGAAGGCAAGTTTTACCCACGGCTCCGTCACCGACAGTCACGCACTTTACGAACCTCGACGCACTCATTATAGACGCCGGCAACACCCAAACTACCAAACTTCTTCTCCGGCGGGTTAAGCTACTCAAATCTCAGTAGTTCTTGTCAGATTCTTGAAATTCCTCTATGCCTGGATGCGTGTTGAATTGAGTGTTCTTGGTGGTGTTTGTTAGTACAGGTAATTAACAGGAAAATTCATTCTTTCCAAATTCATTTTTAATAATGCATTCTTTAATAAAATAATAAACTTATTTGATTTGAATTAAAATATGATTTTAATATAAATTAAAGTTAAACAATCAATATTAATCATATTTTTTATGAGTTCCACAATTTTTTAACTACACATTTCAAAAACTTTTATCACAATCTACTAAAAAACTAATTTTAATCTCCACCAAGTGCCCTCAATATTATACGCAAATTCAAATTTTTTCCTTAATTATTAATCATACATTATCCATCAATCTGTTATTTAAAATACATTCTTTTCTTCAAAATGGGGCTCAAACAAGAGCTAAATACCATTTAATTTTCTGACTTATTCACTCAGATTACTACAATGGCAAAAAATCTATTAAACCCGATACTTGAGGGTTCCACTTTAAAAGGGGACAAAATTTTCTAGCCTAACTCAATATATAGGACGTGGGGCAAGTCATTGACGAAGTTTGCACCCGACGAACCATGACGATCATCCATGTTGGCTTTGTCAAAAAATTTCCCCCATATATTAGTATGGATCCGTCCTAACTTAGATAAATTTCTAAATCCGTCACTGGGCAAGGTAGAGATCACTACCCCAATTCAGGGAAGGGTTGGTATTGGGAACACGGTCCCTATCCATCATTTGCCTGGATTAAAGTTCATTTCAAATTTTAGATTTTTATCACCGAAAAAAGAAAGAATTATTATCGTTTTTAAAGGAAAGATGGGTTGTTCTTAAGGGTGTCAATTTGGCTCGGGCGGCTTTTGACTCGTTGAATCGAGTTGAGATTCGATCGAGCCCCATTTTGAAACGTCGCCTCAAGCCTGAACCGTTGAGCCACGAGCCAACCCGTGTCTTGGATCAAGTCTAAAACGAATAAAGTAAAAAAAAAAAAAATCAGAACGTAGCTGCTTGTTATGTCAACAATACAACTATCTTAAAGCTACTGCTGCCTGCAATGTTTTCAAACTTGAATTTCAAATTCAACTTTGGTTGAAAAAGATATATATATTTTTCTATAAATATGAGGTAAAATTTTGAGTTTCATATTAATTTACTTCAATCATTTTTAACTTACAGTATTTTAGTTTCAATTTCAATATCCAATTTGTTTTCTCTAATATTCAGATTCTTTAACCTAATATTTAATATATTTTGCTATAATAGTCATAGATAAATTTTACTGGTGATGAGATTAATCAGTTTAAGGGTAGTTGGCACAAAACGTCCCTACCTTTCAAGTCTATTGTGGAAAACGTCCCTACCTTTCATTTTTTGGCATTTTTGCCCTCATCTCAACCTTTCTTTGCGCTGGACGTCCTTCCGTCCATATTTCGTCAGTTTTTCCGTTAAACATTCGGGTAATTGGCACAAAACGTCCATACCTTTCAAGTCTATTGTGGAAAACGTCCCTACCTTTCATTTTTTGGCATTTTTGCCCTCATCTCAACCTTTCTTTGCGCTGGACGTCCTTCCGTCCATATTTCGTCAGTTTTTCCGTTAAACATTCGGGTAATTGGCACAAAACGTCCATACCTTTCAAGTCTATTGTGGAAAACGTCCCTACCTTTTATTTTTTGGCATTTTTGCCCTCATTTCAACCTTTCTTTGCGCTGGACGTCCTTCCGTCCATATTCCGTCAGTTTTTCCGTTAATTAAATACAAAAATACCTTTTTCTTTCCATAAACAAGGGTAAAATTGTCCTCACCCACTTCACCCCTTTTTCCCGCCATCAACTTAGTCCATAAGTAACAGTAGCAGCAACATGAATCTGAAAATACTTTAAATGATTAAGTTAAATAAAGAAAAAAATATCATGAACACATTATATTTTACAATTCCACAACTACTGTTGCTGTCATCTTGTGTCACTGGAAAATTTTAGAAAGACATATTAAATGGGTAGTCAATTTATAATGAGCCAAAATGGTGAATGGCTCTTTTTGGCTCAATGGAGAAGATGAATGGCTCATTTTAAATTGACTCATTATAAATTGACTACCCATTTAATATGTCTTTCTAAATTTTTCCAGTGACACAAGATGACAGCAACAATAGTTGTGAAATTGTGAAATATAATGTGTTCATGATATTTTTTCTTTATTTAACTTAATCATTTAAAGTATTTTCAGATTCATGTTGCTGCGTTGATATTTGGAAAGCATATTGCACTTATTGTGGCAAAGAACTTAATTGAATGCTAGTTCGAGCACAAGGCATTTCAATAGGTACATATTAAGGAGTTGCAAAGTGAAACTTGTCACTCTCAACCCGAAATAGACCAAACTAATGTTTGATAGTTTTGGCTATACTCTTTCCACCTTTATATATTTACAGGAAAGATTTCACAAAGGAATGACTGCATACGTGGCTGTAGTACAGATGTTGCTTACGATGATAAACTCAATATACTTTACTCGATGCGTGCAGAATTATCTCCGATCGTTCAAATATTATAAAATTATATAACGAAAGAAAACAAATTATTGTTGAAGGTCTAAAAACTTTTAATAAGGTTATATCATTTACCTCTAATTTATGGATCAGTGATAATAAAAGAGGTTATATTGTTGCTACAGCTTATTATATTGATCATATGTGGCTTCTACAGAAAAGAATTACTACATTAAGATGTATATAATATCATCATAATGTCACTAACATATACATGATTTTAAAAGATATTATACAAAAATAATTCAAAATTTTACTTTCTATAATGTTAGTCTAAACAAATGTGTTATCAAAAAATTCATTAATAATATTAACCTTACATCTGTAAGTTTATTTTCTATCAACATTATGTATACCATATTATCAATTTGATTGTAAGAGATGAATTAGAACATATAAGATTGCCTCTAGATATGATTAAACAATTAATAAATTTTATTACCATGTCACTAGTAAGAAAGCAAGTATTTAACAATTTGCATGTAGAGTATGACTTATAAGAGAAATCATTTGTCACTGATGTAACCCATGGATGAAACTTTACAAATCCTATGTTACAGTCATGTAAAAATTATGATAAAATTATTTCACTATATTATAATGGTAGGCATACATATGGACCCCGAACATAATTTGAAAGATTGGGAATGAGTAGCATTTTGTGTGAAGAAATTCTTAAAATCTTTTTTCGATGTCACAAAGAAATGTTGTGATATTTATTACCCTTACAACTTCACTTATTTTACATACTTTTTTTACATTTCATAAATATAGGAATATGTCAATTTTTGTTGATGTAGTCTACTCTATTAAGTTAAAATTTCGTAAATGTTGGGAAGTGTTGTTCTCTTTATTTCTTTTAGTTTCGGTGATAGATTATCGACTTCATTTAACTGGCACAGAAGTTATTGTAAAAGAAATTTAAAATTTCATGAATGTTAAATTATCACATGTGAATATAGAACTTATGTTACGTGAAATGTACAACTGTTATGCTGAAAAGGGATGTTAGGACAGTTTTACTTCCCAAAGTTCATTTTCAAGAAATATTTCAACAAATTCAAATGATATATAGAATTATTTAGATATTAATACAAGTGTTCTCTCATTTATTTTTAGTTCATCAATATCTAGAGCAAAGGTTATCAGTGGTGCAAATCTTGAAATTCCCTCTAAATTAGCTAGGTATATGTGCTTGAACGTTCGTTGTATATGACAACCAAAAGAAGTATAGTAATTTAATCTTTTATCAAGGTGGAGGTATAACAAAAAATAATAACTAATTGTATCAAAAATTGCAAATGATCTATTAACATCCCATCGTATATGATAGCATCGGATATTGCATTTAGTTTAGATGATTGAGTTTTATCAAACAAACCATCAAGACTAAAAGAAGATATATTAGAAGTTTTAATATGCATAAAAGATTGTAAATATGTAGAATTACTTATCCAAGAATAAGTTGATAGTATAATGGCTGAAGAGTTGCAGCAGATTCATAATTATTTGTTTCAAGAATCATATACAAGTTTAACTCCACCTATATTGATTGTAGTCGATCCTTTGATTTGAAAAATGAGGAGGATTGTAACTTTCATTTAGGGGGCGTTTGTTTCCCATTTTTGTAAAAATGAGAATGAAAAATATAGTCATTATGGACCCCACACAATAAATAAAAATTCAAATTTGGTGACTTGATGTGATGGATAATGGTCATATTTTTCATTTTAATAAGGAAAAAATCGGAAACAAACAGGGGTATAATTTATAATTCATATAAATTGCACAAATTTTAAATTCTTTAAAAAATTTATATTTATATATTCTATCTATATTTTTATACTTTTTAATATAAGACACAACACATGCCATGTCGAACACTTGCTGGAGGAATGTCCATACAATATCCCTCAAGTTTCAGAATTTAGAAATTCAAAAAATATATAAATAATAGGACGTGGCTTGGCGGGCTCCATGTCAAGGTCTGACACAACACTATACGACCCGTACATGGACAAGTGACCATGTAGAAGTTAGAAGTCACCGTAAATAGAATGTTTTGTGTATATATAATCAATGTCCTGTTCCTTGAAGGGATATGAGTTTGAATATAATACTAGGAACAGAAGTACCAAAGGGGAAACTTTGAAAATTCCTTGAATTGACCAGCTGTTGGATTGCATATCACTTAAAATACTTCTTATGCATATAATTTAGTGAATGATTCGGCTAAATGATTCTAAAACAAAATCAATCCAGTTACCTCCCGCTGCCGCTGTTCTAGTCGCAACTTCTCAGCATTTGCCATTTCATATTCCCCATTCTCCAGGCACCTCTGGTCAGGTCTCAGTCTCGAATCAGTCGGGGGAAGCATTTCCTGCAAAAGTTGATCTTAAGACAATTAATAATTATTCCAGCCGGTAAAGAGTTCTATGACCAAAAGAATTCATCACTGCAATCGCACAGATTCTGATGTATATCCATGAAAGGCTAATGATATCAGTAGTGAGTAAGTCAAAATTAGTAATCACAGGTGCA